TAATAATAATTTCTGAAATAATGATTTTACCAGAAATTTAGCATCGACTGGGAAGAACAGTAGTCAAACGGTAATGTGGATACAATTAAATGGATCCATCCAGTCATTCCAAATTTCATGACCTTGGACTAATAGTGTTGTANAATTCTTTTGAAAGCAGGAGATGGATACGGCGGTTCTAGAGGACCCAAACTTTCTTCGGCTTCAGGTTCAGCAATAATGGTATCCGATTTTAAAGGCTTTCAAAAATAAAAATAATATAAATTATAAAATTAAATTTGCTTTCTATATAGTTAAAATATGTATATCGTGTACTTTAAACTTGAAAAGCATTGAAATACATACCACAAAGCTTTCGTTAAAAACACTAGGACTGGATGTTTGAGACGCCGGTAACGGAGGTATACCAAGTCTGTCTCTTATCACTGCTATGGTCGTATCCACTACACTTTGAGCGGTACTCATATAGCGCTCCCATATTAGTCGACCTTGTCTCCGCATGGTCAAAAGATCGTTGTCGGGAACAGCGCGCAATAAAAAGTGCATTTCAGTCACCCTAGCCTAAAGTCACATTTTTGTTAGCACATCTATTTCAATAACCAAAAACAAATTTAATAATATATGGTGCCATAAAAATTACCTTAGGTAGGAAAATAACTGCTCTCCTCCAAGCAATAACTTCGTTATAATTAAGCAAAATCTGATCACCACCGAGAATAACCGGTATCGACCCAGCTCGTAACGCTTCGTACAGTCTTGCCTGCATGAATGAGGTAGTTAATAACGTAGCGTTACTGGGAGCTAAGATCAGTGCGAACGTCGATTCCTTCAATATAGCTCTTCTGGACGAGTCAGTTCCGCAAAGAGACCAATCGAGTGTTTCCACAGGCTTGCTCTCCACAGAAGCTGGTATACATTCAAACTGAATGAAGAATTTGTCCAAAGTTATTCCGCTGCTCATATCTTTTAGATGTTGAATAATAAACGCGTCTATATTGTTGTCGTCGATTATCAATTTTTCCAGATCTACATCCGCGTCGTCAATTTGATATGTCATCGGTGTGCCTACGAAAGTCCTCATCTCTCCTTGGAATGACAGCAAATATTTTCTTCTCGCGGGTAACATTTGTGCGCATTCCTGCCAGACATCTCCGCCAGGTGGTCCCAGAATTGGTGGAACAATTATATCGAAATCATCGCGGAATTGGTTTCTATAAAACGTCGACTGCACTACTATTGCTCTGCCAATATCCAGATTACTGAAAATATTTCCAGAATCTGCAGATAAATCTCTACGTGCAAGATTTAATAATATATGATTTCTACCGTCTCCACCCCAATAGGGAAGTGCATGTAATTTCTTTATATCTAAAGGTTTACTGTGACGTCGATCGCTCTTTTGATGGAGGCTTAACGCTTCACCAAGTAAGACTATGTAAACGCATGCCTCTGCTGGATTTCTAGTAAGATGCGGATTGTACCCTGCAATCAATATTTTGTATACATATAACAAGATTTATCACAGATGAATATCCACAGATAAAATAAAAGATGTCCTTAAATACTTATTTGTTTATGCTGTAAGACGGGGATTCTAGATTTTGAAACTGCCAGCAACAGTCAGGAAAATAATGTAGGGCAAGGTCAGAGTGGCAACCAAGGAATATCCGGATAAGGAGAATGGATTACTCATCCCACACTTCTGTGATTAATACAATCATGTTTACTTTGTGTAATATGTAGCTTATTTATCTTAAATACGTACCTAACGTTTGTTTAATAGTCGTCTTTAAGAAACCGTCTACGTCCCATCCTGGATTAACTACCGACAATTGATCCGGGTCGTATAAGTACACAGGGAAACCGCTTGTCAGCGCGCAACGACTGTGATCGAAACAATTATACATTCTACACGATCGCGGATCTGTGCTGGGCAGTACAACTGGCAGCGTGTTGATCAATATTCTCTTGGGTGGCGCCAATTCAGGCGTGTTCCTCTCGACCGCCTCCTTCTGCGCCACCTGCGCCTGCTCCACGCTTATCTTCAGTCTATCGAGATCCGTTTGCTGATGCAGCAACTCCTGCTTCAGCTCGTCTATCTTCTGCGTCAGGCTGTTCACCTCGCCCTGAAGTCTTTGCCTCTTGGCGCTCAGGTCTCTCAATTCGTTGCTCACTGAAATCTTTATGCGGAACATCTCCTCTATTCTCATCTTCAGCTGCGAGGCCTTCATGGACGTGAAATCCTCGAAAGCCTCCAACGTTGAGAACGTTCTGTACATATCCCTATCCGGAGCGTCTGATTCTACCTGTAAAGTAGTAAAGTAGTAAAAACTCGAAGTTTAACGCGACTGCATTCCGAAGCAATGACTTTTAAAGACTTATATTTCTATAAATCAAATATAGTGAAAAACTTATATTTATCTTTTCACTTTAATTGTACCTTAGATAAATAGTAATGCGTAAATAATGGCACAATAAATAAGACTATAGACGTCAAAATTATTATCCTCGACAGTTTGATATGCCCCAACCATTGGCACGTCTCCCTCCCGGCACCGCTGTGGTAGAACGGGAGTGCCTCGAAAGTATTTCCCACCATGTTTATATTGGAATTAATTGCTACGTATCTTCATCTGTCTAACAAATACTGGACACTTTCATCTAGCATTTTCACTTCTGCAAATGACACATTATACACAAACATTAGAATAATCTCGTGAAACGAGCTCTCGACTACATTTTGCACGTAAGAAAAAAACAGCCTTTCGTCCGATAATTTCTCACGGTAGTTTTTAATTTAAAGGGCAAAGGGCACGCAAACGCGTGTATTAACCCGTAAAAGAACACCTCTCTCATGACTGATTTTGTTTGACACAAAATTTGAAAACAATTACGTTCTTTTTTCGAAAATTTAATATTACCAATCGATTGGTCGGACAATTTTCCATTGAGAGACACATTTTGCTTTTTATTTTCAGAAGATACGTTAAACTTTAAGAAAATTCGCCTGGTGCGAATTCGCACCCCAGGTGTCCTTTACGGGTTGACAATAGTACTTATATACCTGCCGCGTTAGAAACTGACATCGAAATATATTAACCTGGGGGATGATTTCATCAGAGCGTATCGTCGTGCCGTCGATAACCTACGCGACCTCGTGGTCTCCTCCGTTTCTTGGTCAGCCGGGCAGTCGAAAACGGCATCACGAATCGGAGCAATCCAACGCGGACTGACGCGAGGGAGAGAACTTTTGACGCGAGTCACATTCTACGCTGCTCGCGGTCGCGTAGAGGTTAGTCTCGAGACTCTCGAGCGATGCGTCTCACTCGCGCACGTCGTCCATCTGATGATATCTCCGCCCTCTCATGGGTGGGATTCAGCGTACTATCAGATCCTCCACAGCGCGCTCCACAACGCGACGCTCCGGTTCCGAGATCCCCCACCCCCCCCCTGTACGCCGGAGCGGAGTCGTGATCCGTGAAACGCGAGCGGCTGTCCGGGAGTTGTTTACTCGCCCAACGCGGAATCCCGAGATTTGACAAGATTCGACGATCTCTTTCTCTCTCTCTCTCTCTCTCTCTCTCTCCCTGGATCGCACCCTCCGGTCGGGCCGGACTCCAAAAATCTGCGCGTCGCGTTTGATTTGACATATCGTGTCTGTCAATCATTCGCGTTTTGAACAGCCCGCTCGCCGTCGCCTCGTAAACCCGGTTGGTTTGCCCGGGCGACGTTTGGTGGCACGTCGCGGCCGCACGTTGCGCATCCGCGTGATGTGTTCGCGTCCCCCGAGGTCTTCGCCGAACATGCGCATGTTCATGTCAAGCGTAGTGCGAGGGGAATAATATTTTGGCTTTCGGGGGCCTAAAATTAGCCGGAAAATGGTAAGCATTTGGGGAAAAGAATCGTGATTGCAGGCCGACGGGAGCACGCTCTCGTCGTGTTTGTCGGTCGGTCGGTCTGTCCCCTCGTCCCCCGGAGTTTCGCACCCTCCGTTTTTTTAAAGTTGTTAGAATAACCTACAACACTCCGCGCGCTACAACGATGTTTTTCACGCCGAACATCGGCCCCGTCGTCCGGGACGACGAAGCGACGCGAAATCTCCCTCCGGGAGCTTCCCCCGCTATCGCCCAGCTTTGAAAACGCGGTCGCGCTGAAATATACCGTGTCTGATGCGACGCCAGACTGTCTTGACATATCAAAGCGTATTTCGAATAATATGGCAAGCTGTAACTTTTGCACATGTAATGATGCACGGAGAGCCGAAATAAGCGCTTAAGTTGAGAGAGAAAGAGAGCGAGAAAGCGTGACAGAGAAAAGGGAGAAATTGTAGAATATTAGTCTATTTAATTGAAACAATGAGCTACAGAATCGTGTATTGGTGCCACTTTCACTTTCACCTGTTACTCTTATAATTAACTGATAAACTTGTAAGGTACACATGCCGTTTGATTTGCAGCATAAGTTAAAATTTTCACAAAGGGACAAAGTGAAAAAGTTTATAACATTTACACAAACTGGGGAGCAAACTGCGATATATTGTTTAGCCCAAAATGATTGGAAGCTGGATCTCGCCAGTGACAATTACTTCCAGAATCCAGAAGCGTATTACAAAGAACCGAAAAATTCTGTTGACAAAAAGAAATTGGAAATATTGTATAGCAAATATCAAGGTAAGATCGCATCTCACGATATTACTCGCATTACATTAGCCCGCTTTGTTATTTATGTGTTAAATGTCATAATGAAAAGATAAATTTAATAAATTATAATCATTATCTCGTAGATCCAAGTGAACCCAATAAAATTACCGCGGATGGTATTATGAAATTTCTTGACGATTTAAATCTAAGTCCTGAGAGTAAATTAGTTTTGATCATTGCGTGGAAATTTCGTGCCGAAACGCAATGTGAATTCACTAAAGAGGAGTTTATGAATGGAATGATGGACTTGGGGTAAATATTAACTTCTTCGACACGTATCTACCGAATCTAATGTGTTTTACATTTTTCATCGTAAGGCGTGTGTGCATAAATACGACTATTTTCATAATTATTATTTTCAGAGTGGATAGTATAGATAAGCTAAAAGCACGGTTAGGTAGTTTAGAAAATGATTTAAGGGATCCCTTAAAATTCAAGGATTTTTATCACTTCACATTTAATTACGCGAAAAATGCGGGACAGAAAGGCTTAGACTTGGATATGGCGATCGCATATTGGAACATTGTATTAGACGATAAATTTAAATTTCTTCAATTATGGTGTCAATTCTTACAGGTAAGCAAATTTCGGATATTGCCCTTAAATTTATTTATTTTTTTTCTGGCGAGTTACTTTAAAATAATAAACTGATGTATTCTAGGAACATCACAAAAGATCAATCCCAAAAGACACGTGGAATTTATTGTTAGACTTTGCACTTATGATCAATTTGGACATGAGTAATTATGATGAAGAGGGTGCTTGGCCTGTATTAATCGACGACTTTGTAGAATGGGCACAACCTCGAGTTCGTCAGTCTCTCTAACGATTTTCTTTCTTTTGCAACATTCTCGTGATAACTTTATTTATTCATTTATAAAAGTATATTTTTCGAGTTATTTTGTGAAATAATATTTTTTTTCCAATGACAACATTGTTTTATTTTTCTGAAAGTGATTATAGACAAATTAATGCACATAATATAACGAATCATAGTATACACTATATAGGATCTTGTAATATTCTCAACAATTCACTACGATATATCGCTTCAGTAGATACGATTTCATTTGCTAAAATATACAAAGAGAGATGTCCCTTGAGTGTTTGCTTAAAGAAAAAAAATAACAATTATTTACTTATTTATTAAGTTCAATTTGTGTGAAATCTACTAACCACGTAGGGTATACGAGATTATCACTTGTAAAATATATAATTTAATTGCAACTTTTGATTTGTCTTCGATGAGAAAATAAGCATTGCCTTGAAATTGATCATATTGTACAAAGTAGTATGATGTGTGAAACGTTTATTTACCATGTGGGAATATAACAGAAAGTTGCTCAACTATACTACCATCGGTAGTATTTGCAAGCAATTAAAAAAAAAAGAAAGAAAGAATACTTCTCAACGTTCTTTTAAAGTAATGTATCGGAAGCAAAATTGAAAGAGAAATTAGTCCATACGTTCCTGTAGATAGTAATTTCTAGAAATTGCGTTGTTGAAAAAAAATTGTTATTAAATAAATTCTACGATACACCATTACACGACACTTAGAATGTATATAAGTACATAAAGAGAAAGAAATCTGTATTTTAGACATTACAATATTTCGGCATCATTCTATTTATTTTTTTATATTCAATCACGTTGTAATGATAAGAAAAAGAGAAATTTATTTCTTGTATATTAAAAAAGAAGGTTACTTGTAATATACTTGTGAAACATTATATAAACATTGTTCTGAGGACAAAATATAAATTTTTTTATAAACTTAATATAATAATCGTTATTTGCAATTTGTAATGGTATAACTTCATTTATTGAATTGTTACATAAAAAGTCATTTCTGATTATATTCTTTACAGATTTTATTCTCTTAACAACTTTGTCATAGGTATTTTGTATGTTAGACATTATCCCTTGTAACTACATTCTATAAAAATTTAGCAGCAATATATTTAGATTTTTATCTACACATATAAATATGTGAAGATTATAAAGACATCATAATGTAAAAAATTATGTACTATCACGAATTGAAAAGATTGTTAGGAAATCAAAATATTGTAGCTATATATATACATATATATGTATATATATATTATATATATATATAATATTAAAGCTATAAAGCGAAAATTTTTGAATAAAATTGTCTCGTCCACGCGTTTTTGATTATATTTTATAAGCATAATGTGAAATAGATAAAGAAAAAAATCTCAACAGATATAAAGCAGTATAAACTTATTATAATATGTAGTTACATATCGCCAGGGATACACGTTTGCGCAATGCTAAACTCATTAAAAAAGGAATATACTATTGTTCGAAATCTATCCTTCTTTTTTATAAATTATTTCCTTAATAGTTTCAGCATTGTGTAGACAATAAATTGTTTTATCAGCCTTAGGAGAAACAGAAAGTAAATTGTACATAATGTAAATAAATATATCAGTCTTAATCTATTCAGTGCGTCTGTTTAAATGAACTGCTGAATAAATATACACCACATCTCGTGTATATCTCTATATGTGTTTAAATAAAAAGTTCTGCTAAAAGTCCACAATTAATATTTCATGTGTGTGTCACTTAAGGATAAGTTAGAAAAATAATTATTTTATTTTATAAGTTCATAATCGGCAAGAAATATAATTAATGTAAAATATGTCAGTACTCAAGAAATATAATGTAAAATATCTCGGTTACAAAAATTATTACATTTTACAAGATTTTTTACATTTGCAAATCCTATTATAGCCATTGCATTGTGTATCACAAGAATATAAGAAGGCTAATTCGTACTTATTAGCTTGTATATTGTAACAATTCTTTAATACATCCTGAATATACCAGTTGCATAATGATTCCAATCTATCAATAGTCGTCTGCATCATGTATTTTTTTTTTATTATCACAGAAGAAACATAATATTAGAGTTTACATTTTTTTCCATTGGTATTTATTAAAGCATTAAAGCTTCCTCTTAATTTACTTACCTGAGCTATGACTAATCCATGATTTGAGTGATCGACTGTAGTGTGACTGTGCGAATCGAACAAAGTGACCTATGAATAAAACTTGCATCTTATTTATACAGATGATTATTAATTATATGTCAATATTTTAGAAAGTAAATTTAATTCTGAACATGATATATGTAATCATTCATTTCACCCTATAAAGCACAAATATCCAACTAGTTTCTCCGAAGAGCCAGATTTTAAATTTCGACTATTACTCCTGGGCCAGACTAATATCAAGTTATTGCCCTGTCTGCGTCTATCTAGGCCATCTAATTGTAAGATCTACCACGTGGAATGTAAATCTAAAGTTCATATTTTGGAATACGATCATGGATCGAATTGAAAGACTACGCGGGCCGAATGTTGGGCATTCGTGCTCTAAAGTATGGACATATAATTAAGAATCGACCTATACGATTGATTTCTATTGATTCTACCTGAATTCTTACCTTATTGGTACTTTCTTGAAATATAAATAATATAGTACGTCCGCATGTGATTAGTAGCATAAACAAGGTGTGAGATTTTGGAATTTTGTACCATTCATGTAAAAATACATTTATATTTTTGTATAGGCTTGTCCCTATCTCCTCGTTAAAGATATTGAACTTCTGTGACAAAGGGATTATATGTATTATTTAAGTGTATGTACGCACGGAAATTCTACTTGTTCAGATAGAAATGCTTAATCCAGCTGGATGAAAGATCAATAAGAATCTTTTTGAACCGTAAGTACTAATAAACTCACATATAAAATCTTATATATGAATTCAAAATTTGATATGAATTAGGGTATTATTTTATATATAAATATTCCTATTGTACCCATTCTTTTAATATATTTAAACTCTGGCCCCCATGCTTTAAAGCATCTTCGGTATTCAAGTATGGATGTGATATAAGCCTTTTCTTAATAAGCCATGCATGAGTCGCATTACCCTCTATCATCGCCTTTGCCACAATAATATTTAATCTCGGACAATTTTCTATGTCATAAATTGACAGATTTTCTCTTGATATTTGTACAGCCACAAGCAAACATATAAGTGTACAGGCTTCGCTTACTGAGGTCGTTCAGTGCACCAAAAAAATACGCATTATTGATACTAATGTATAACAGACACTTTCAATATTGATACAAGTAACGTATAATTACTTTTTTGTCCTGGTGGATAACGGCTTTGCGTAAATTCGGGGTGATACCACAATATATATACTTCATTATTAAAACAGTTTTTCACGTATGACGGAAAGTGGTAGCTAAATAGTGGTGGTAAAGACATAATTACAAAAGTATCTCTTACTCCATGTGTTTCTCATTACTTATTAATTTTGTTACCAAATGCATCTCTTTGTGATTCATATTTATGTTATTCCTTTCCAAAAGGATTTAATGTATCAAAACATTTTGGATGCCGAAATTTTGTATGATAGTTTGGGTTATGATTGTATTATAGTGGGATATTATGGAAAACAATTGTTAACATGTGTGAAAAATAGCTGCATTCAGTAGATACTATATAGTTAAATGTTTATCACAAGTAAGTGAATCGATCTATTTAAAGAATAAATGACATCTAAAACCTTATTTAATGATTTTGTTGTTTAAATTATTGCACAATTGAAAAAAACAATACAGCTTTCTTATCAATATTTTAAAATTTATTTTCATTTAGAAAATATTTTCATCTTACCTAATTGAGAGAATAAATGAGAAAAAATTGTTATTTAATATTTATTATATTTTATAATAAAACACATTGTATTAATTCAATTTTTCTTTATAATTACGTTTTTACTTAATTGCAGTGACATGTATATTCATTATCGATTGTTCCAAAACAATGATTTCTTTTTTTTTAAGTGGTATAAATTTTATCATTTTACTCTTTTATTAAAAAAACATTGCTTCTGTGAATAATTCTTTTAACATTTAGAAAGTAGAGTGTACGAAATTCAGTTTCCAATATGTACGCACGTGCGAATGTGTGTATATTCCTTGATACCATACTTTTTATTAGATGAGATATAAAAGTATTTGTGCTAGACGTGTAAATAATACATCACTTTACAATTACGAAACTAATAATCTATTCAAGATTGGTTGTGTTATATAAGTTGTATATGCCTGAGATGACACAAAACAATGGAAGTACATCCATAGATATAAAAACAAGACATATTTATATATTTACATATAATTTACTGTAAAAATAGAAATACGATTAAATGAGATGCATTGTGTTGTAATAGAAATTGATATTCCATAACACAATGTTAGTTAAAAATTCAAATTTCTAAATTGACATTGATTGCATCCTTTGTAAAAGACAATATTAGAAAATGAAGTAGTCAATTAAGTACTCATTTAAATTAAAGTCTTCTCATCAGTTTTTTTTTATAATATTAACGTTAGACTTAATTTTCGCGAATAGAACATTTTACCATTTTTATTTATATTTATCTTTTATGAAATTTTAATCAAATGTTTTTTTCTGTTTTTAATAAAAATGTTTCGTTTCCATTAAGGAAATCATATGCGCGTACATACGAATATGATTTATTCTCAGTCGGTTCAGCACTGCAGTTAGTCTTTTAAATCATTAGTTTATTATGAATAAATTTATATTTTTTCTAAATGTATATTACACCTGACTTCCGTTTGACACAAACGTCTTTTGTTTGTCACTGTTATTACAAAGATGTGTTGAAAATCGTTTTCATAATCTTCTATATCATACTTTCACACATTGGCCTCATGAAACCTGAAAGCAACATATATTTTTTATATTATTTAGCAATTAAATGTTCAATTAAAATTTCTTCAAATTTCAATCAAACAGATAATTATATAGATGTATTGTAAAGATTGATAAAAAAAAGCTATTTATAATTTATCATGTTTATTGTCACATATACTTTTTAAATTTAAGATTAAAGTAAATACAAATACCCACCAGTGATCAGAATGATCTATATGCAGTTGGATAACGTGTTGGTAAACTTGTGGTAAGAAAACGTGACCAATGTTCCCATCCCAGAAGCTTTGCAATTTCAATGCATTTTTCATCAATTTCTTTCAACGGTTTCTCCTCGTAATAGCGTGTCAATAATTTCAAGTAACGTCCATAATGATTATTGATGTGCGCATGCCATAAAGATAAAATAATAACCTGAAGAAGATAAAGAAACAAATCTTATTTATCATTTTACAGTATATATATATATATTTATTAATTGTCTAATTCTAATCTTTATTCGAGGTATGTGTAAATGTATATGTGGAAGTATATACATTTATGTATATTTGTTAATATATGTTGAATTTTTGTCCATTTTAAAGAATGGCTTTGAACATAATAATGATATTATTTTTACCTTGCTATCAGTAGGTTCAGCGAATTTTTGTACTTCTTGCCAGTGATGTGTAACGCTCTCAAGCAAATGTTCAAAGGATCCATCTCCCTCCCCAGTCTTTGTTCCATGTACATACAACCGCGCCAGTGCACAGCCTTTTTTCACTAATCCCTCAATCAAACTGTTCTTTTGCTTCTCCATAGTTACTTTGATTTTAGCCGCATCAGGGCGCTGATCGTTTTTCAATCCATAATACGCCAATAACTTGTCTTGATCAATATTTGTAATTACAGAGTCAGCAACGGTTATTATTTGATTGGCAAACACAACAGCGTTTTCTGAAAGCTCCTTTTGCGGTATGTGTCGCCGTGCCTCAGAGGAATCCAAAGATGTCAACATGGCAGTATGAACAGGTAAGTGATCTGAGAATGCGCCTTTTAATTCTGCGTACAACGAATTGGTGTGCTCGCCAGGTTCTATTATAAATAAGAACAGAATAGAATTGATATTAATTCAGGAAAATAAAAAAATTTTCAGTTAACATATGACATGTGAAAAATGTCACGTATATTAAAGACCACGTTTGTAGATATTCATGTTAAATTTGTCACATTATATGATAACAAATGTCAGAGTTTTCAAATAAATTATGTATTCTGTTAATATGGACTGCTTTATCAAATATCGTAAAAGGATAAAAATTGTAATCATGGGCACAGTTGACATATAAATTTCTGTAGAAAGTTAGATAAATGCAACAATTGCAATTACATGCTCAAAGGTACATGTATCTTATATGGTAAAAAAAAGGACATAAATACATAAATGTTCACATCTTAAATTCAACCCAACTTACTTATAGACGGTGCTATTGGTAGAATATAAACCGGAAAAAAAGATAAAAAATATATATGTGATGGTACTAAATATTAATAAATTACTCTAAATATCTATTACATCTATCGTATATCTAAACATTAACATATCTAAATGTTAGATTACCAAATTTGGCAAGGTAATTGCATTTTAAATCTCTTATTGCTTCCTGGTATTCATCCCACTTTGTAGTTTTCTCTTTCTCAGATTTATGAGTAGGGCTGACATTTTTCTTGGCAGGCTCAGATATGATGTATTTAAATACGTGACTATCCACGTGACTATCCACCTTCTTTCCGTTATCATCTTTACAGAAAGTCAATGTACCTTGAAGATAACTACCAGGGGTAGCGTATTTGGATACTCTTTGCAAAAAGAAAAGAAAAATATTTAATGTACAGTAATATATAAAAATTATACATTTTAATCATAGCAGCTTTGTTATTTTTTTTTTATTATATGTATTATGTGCTAAAGCCAGATCGAAAAAAGGAAAATAAGCTAAATATTATAAAAAAGCGCAATAACGATCATAATATATATACAATAGAATATACTATTCTTGCAGAAAAATAATTCCATTCACATCAAATATACGTTACATTAGCTAATATATTACATTAGCATATAAAATTTAAAAGCGTAATATATATATATATATATATATATATATATATATGTAAAAATGTATATATATAAATATATGTAAAAATTCGAATAATTTCTGGTGGAATAAAATATGTGCAACTAGATAATAAAATTTGAAAACTATCCAAATATAATAGATTTATGAAGAAGTTTTTAAAATTTGCAACATTTTTAAAAAACAGTAATGTCAAATTAAATAAAAATAGCAGCAAAAGCAGTAGTTTATTTCTTAACACGTAAGCAAATTTTTTAATATTATATAAGTTTGATTTATATGTGTACTGTTTTAATTCATGTATTATGATATATGTTGATGCCTCTGTCTCATATCTAAGAATAAAAAAATAAATAAAAATTTGCCTACGCTTTGAAATGTACCTTTTTTGCAATAAGCAGTATTTTGATTAAGAACAGACATCAACATGCATTTAAAAATGTGTTAGTGTCATATAAGTGAGTAGCAATTGCCTTTGATTTTATTTAAAGCTTTCAAAGTATATAAGAATTGTATTATAAACTCACTTGTTTTCAGTGCTGCAATGTAATGAAAAAAAAAAAGTTATCTTAGTAGCACTTTAGCACTAAATAATTATACTATGTTATCAAATATCTTCAAATGTATATCACAGAATTTACATATACATATACATATATATATTTTTTAAGTAATTAGACATGGATATTTTTTTAACGAAAACGCGCACGTCCACAACTCTTTTATTTATAATTTGATCTAGACAGTTAGACAGTTGGAAAATCAAGAATGTTTTAGGAATTGAGTTTCAAAAAAGAAAATTAAAACGATAAAATTATAAAACTGTATTATTTATTCATTTTTAAGAAAATTTTACTTCGATAAGATATTAATATGAGACTCAATTGTTCAATATTAAATGTAAAATATTTAATATTAGAAATTAAGGAATTATACAAAAAGAATTTCCAATATTAAGAAAAAATCAGTTCCAAATTGATTAAAGAAAATGTACGTAAATTGTATGACATCAATTTAGAAAATATATATACATATACATATATACATATATTATAATATTAAAATAATATTCATAAACGTTTTGATGCTTATACATATATATACATAAAATGTATAATATATATTTTTTCATAAAAAAACGTTTGCATGAATATTATCATTCAAATATATTTAGTTTAATAATCAAATAAAAACGAAAAAAAACTACTATCTATAAAAAATCAAACAATATTTAACACTCAAGTATACTACCAAAGTACAATATTAATTTTTAATTTATAAAATTATTAAGAGTTTATATACACAATATTTTTATATACAAAAAATATAAAATTTTGCACAGAATATTTTAAGTGCACAGTTTATCAATGTATAAAAAAATTATGTGATAAAGGTGATTTGTAGTACAGATCATTATAAAGGATATATTTTTAATATATATATCATATATTTTAATATATGTGATGTGAATTATATGCAGTAGTGAACATGTATATAAATGTAAATACCTACAATGTAAAAAATTTAATGTTAAAGAGATAAAAATAAAATTTTAATATTTAGGTTCTAAGATTATAATATATTATAATCGCGCGGTTTATTTGACCGATTTAAACTAAAAAAAATTGTAAAAAAATTGTAAGATTCACACTTGATAATATCATGCACCAAATTCCGCTTTGTTGGCACTTTCCGATTACATTGTT